ATATTTTAAACAAGTTGACAGCTTCTGTCAAGGGAAAGATACAAAAGTAGGCGGTAATCAGGGCGAGTGCTCGTGCCCCAATCCGACTTCCACAAGGCGTTTAGAATATGCATAAAATTGCCGCACTTTCATGCATACCATTGGTCAGTGCCCCGTGACGCCACCCTGCTGATTTTATTCTGGAATTATTTTTTTTGGCGTCATTGACCTGAAACGTGTAATCAGAAATGGGTTTTATATTCACAAGTACAAAGTTATGCTTATGCGAGAAGGATGGATGGCGACCGCGCGCCAAGGAAGTGACAATCAATAAGCCTTTGGTAGCGGAACCCGTGTCCATTATTGGGCGTAGACAATGTCGATAAGCAAAAAGAAACTAATTTCGTGTAATGGAAAGAGACACAAAGGTCCGGAACTCGCATGCGTTAAAATGAAGTAGGGTTGAAGGGGGGTTGGTACCTTGGAAAACGCTCCTTTCAGGGGATTCCGCATCGCCTGTCAGGAGGAGAAACGGATACCTCTTAAAATATGTGAAGTGTCCCATATGAGTTTCGTAAACACATTTGCATTCCATGAGCTAGCTTTAAGTATCGGAACACAATGTAACGCGCTCCAAGGTCCTGGGAGAGTATTTAAAGTCACATCAGAACGACATCCATTGAGCTATTTAGATTGCAGGAGAACTGATCCTGCTTCGTTTCGGAATCCCAGTCCGCAGTTCTTGCAAGCTGCCACCCATATTCCGTCCCACAGTCGGGAAAGATGGGTGAACACTGCCCTACCTGCGGTGTAATGATTGACATTTTTATTTGTCAGTGGAGACGATTTAAGATGAGCAACCTTCGTCTGGAAGTAATTTTCACCGAGACGGGCTCAAATTGCCGGTCACCCGAATAATTCCTGGCCCGCAATTTCTGGGTTGCTACAACCACCTGGCATTTACCTGTACTTAATTGTTTATTTGTATTTGAGAGGAAGGAGAAGACTCGATCGCTGGAACAATGTTTATTCGCCTGACGTTTCGACATACGTCGCGGATTCATCATCAAAGACATGAACAGTAGCAGAAACGGGTAATGTATGCACAAAAA